TGGAATTATATAATGAGATTTAGTTTTAGTTAACATATAACATGATTTCACATTCTAAAACATCCATCCATCCATCCATTTTCTTCCGCTTTATCCGTTGCCGGGTCGCGGGGGCAGCAGTCTAAGCAGAGACGCCCAGACTTCCCTATCCACACACACCTCCTCCAGCTCGTCCGGGGGGACCCCAAGGCGTTCCCAGGCCAGCTGAGAGACATAGTCCCTCCAGCGTGTCCTGGGTCTTCCCCGGGGCCTCCTCCCGGTGGGACGTGCCCGGAACACCTCCCCAGGGAGGCGTCCAGGAGGCATCCTGAACAGATGCCCGAGCCACCTCAACTGGTTCCTCTCGACGTGGAGAAGCAGCGGCTCTACTCCGAGCTCCTCCCGTGTGACTGAGCTCCTCACCCTATCTCTAAGGGAGCGCCCAGCCACTCTGCGGAGGAAGCTCATTTCGACCGCTTGTATCCGCGATCTCGTTCTTTCGGTCATTACCCAAAGCTCATGACCATAGGTGAGGGAGGGAACGAAGATTGACCGGTAAATCGAGAGCTTCGCCTTTCGGCTCAGCTCCCTCTTTACCACAACGGTCCGATACAGAGACCGCATCACTGCGCACGCTGCACCGATCCGCCTGTCAATCTCACGCTCCATTCTTCCCTCACTCGTGAACAAGACCCCGAGATACTTGAACTCCTCCACTTGAGGAAGGACCTCTCCACCCACCTGGAGAGGGCAAGGCACCTTTTTCCGGTCGAGCACCATGGCCTCGGATTTGGAGGTGCTGATTCTCATCCCAGCTGCTTCGCACTCGGCTGCAAACCGTCCCAGTGCATGCTGCAGGTCCTGGTTCGTTGGAGCCAACAGGACGACATCATCCGCAAAAAGTAGAGATGAAATCCTGTGGTTCCCGAACCGGACCCCCTCCGGCCCCTGGCTGCGCCTAGAAATTCTGTCCATAAATACAGTGAACAGAACCGGTGACAAAGGGCAGCCTTGGCGGAGGCCAACATGCACCGGGAACAGGTCTGACTTACTGCCGGCAATGCGAACACAGCTCTGGCTCCGGTCATACAGGGACCAGACGGCCCTCAGCAGAGGACCCCGGACCCCGTACTCCCGGAGGACCCCCCAAAAGACACCCCGGGGAACACGGTCGAACGCCTTCTCCGAATCCACAAAGCACATGTGGACAGGTTGGGCGAACTCCCATGAACCCTCGAGTATCCGATGGAGAGTATAGAGCTGGTCCAGTGTTCCGCGACCGGGACGAAAACCACACTGCTCCTCCTGAATCCGAGATTCGACCATCGGGCGTAGCCTCCTCTCCAGTACCTTGGAGTAGACCTTACCGGGGAGGCTGAGGAGTGTGATCCCACGATAATTGGAACACACCCTCCGGTCCCCCTTCTTGTAGAGAGGGACCACCACCCCGGTCTGCCACTCCATTGGCACCGCCCCCGATCGCCACGCGATGTTGCAGAGACGTGTCAGCCAAGACAGTCCTACAACATCCAGAGACTTTAGATAGTCAGGACGGATCTCATCCACTCCCGGCGCCTTGCCACCATGGAGGCTGCCAACCACCTTGGTGACCTCGGCCAGGGAGATGGAAGTGTCCGCCCCAACATCCTCAGCCTCTGCCTCCTGAACGGAGGACGTGACGGGGGGATTGAGGAGAACCTCGAAGTATTCCTTCCACCGCCCGACAATATCCTCAGTCGAGGTCAGCAGCCCTCCACCCGCACCATACACGGTGTTGGCAAAGAACTGCTTCCCCCTCCTGAGGCGCCGGACGGTTTGCCAGAACCTCTTCGAGGCCGACCGATAGTCATGCTCCATGGACTCTCCGAACTCCTCCCAGTCCCGGGTTTTTGCCTCTGCAACAGCCCGGGCCGCGGCACGTTTGGCCTGCCGGTACTGGACAGCTGCCTCAGGAGTCCCACGAACCATCATTGCTCGATAGGACTCCTTCTTCAGCCTGACGGCATCCCTTACTGCCGGTGTCCACCACCGGGTTCGGGGATTGCCGCCGGGACCAGCACCAGAGACCTTGCGACCACAGCTATGAGCCGCCGCATTGGCGATAGAGGAAGAGAACATGGTCCACTCGAACTCGATGTCCCCCTCCTCCGCCGGGACCTGGGAGAAGCTCTCCCGGAGGTGTGAGTTGAAAGTCCGTCTGACAGGGGGCTCCGCGAGACGTTCCCAGCAAACCCTCACTATACGCTTGGGTCTGCCAGGTCTGACCGGCTTCTTCCCCTGCCAGCGGATCCAACTCACGACCAGGTGATGATCGGTTGACAGCTCCGCCCCTCTCTTTACCCGAGTGTCCGAGACACGCGGTCGAAGGTCAGATGATACGACAACAAAGTCGATCATCGACCTCCGGCCTAGGGTGTCCTGGTGCCACGTGCACTGGTGGACACCCTTGTGCTCGAACATGGTGTTCGTGATGGACAGGCCGTGACTGGCACAAAAGTCCAACAACTGAACACCACTCGGGTTCAGATCAGGGGGGCCGCTCTTCCCGATCACCCCTCTCCAAGTGTCACTGGCATTTCCCACATGGGCGTTGAAGTCCCCCAGGAGAATAACGGAGTCCCCGGGCGGTGCACTGTCCAGTACCCCTCCCAAGGACTCCAAGAAGGCCGGGTACTCTGCACTACCGTTAGGCCCGTAGGCCGTCACAACAGTGAGAGACTTGTCCCCCACCCGGAGGCGGAGGGACGCGACCCTCTCATTCACCGGGGAGAACTCCAACACGTGGCGGCTGAGATGGGGGGCAATGAGTATGGCCACCCCAGCTCGCCGCCTCTCCCCGCGGGAAACACCAGAAAAGTGGAGCGTCCAACCCCTCTCAAGGAGTTGGGTTCCAGAGTCCAAGCTGTGTGTCGAGGTGAGGCCGACTATCTCTAGTCGGTATCGCTCAACCTCCCCCACAAGCTCGGGCTCCTTCCCCCCCAGTGAGGTGACGTTCCACGTCCCAACAGCCAGATGTTGGGTGTGTGGACTGGGTCGTCGAGGTCTCCGCCTTCGACCGCTGCCCAGTCCTCGCTGCACCATGCCACCACGGACCCCTCTGCAGGTGGTGGGCCCACAGGAGGGACTGCCCACGTCATCCCTTCAGGCTGAGCCCGGCCGGGCCCCGTGGGCTAAGGCCCGGCCACCAGGCGCTCGCTTGCGAGCCCCGACCCCAGGCCTGGCTCCAGGGTGGGGCCCCGGCTGCGCCATGCCGGGCGACGTCACGGTTTTTGTTGTCGTGCTGTCCATGGTTGGCTTCGGACTGCGCTTCGTCTGACTCGTCACTTGAGACCTGTCTGCCATGGGAGGCCCTACCAGGGGCATGAAGCCCCAGACAGCATAGCTCCCAGGATCATCCGAGTGCTCAAACTCCCCCACCACGTTAAGGTGGCAGTCCAAGGGGGAGGACTGCCACATGATTCTAAAACATGAATTTTCAATATGAATATTCTCAAGCTCATATCAAAGGCAAACAATAATTCATAATATATATACTCGACTGTCTTTTTGTGAAGTGAAATGAGTTGGACGCTATTACTTTGCTTGAAATGCCGCTTGGTGTGGTTTAAAACATTCCTCCATGACTTTTTTTTTACACACAGATACAACTTGGACTTTTGCCTTGTGAAGCTACATGGATATTTAGATAAACTTAAGCAAAAGGCAGGTACCACCACCAGGACAGTTCAGCAAGAATGTACTGCATATTTGTTCTATGGAAATATATAGTGAGAAACATGCTCATTAAAAAAAACATGCCCATTTGCACCCAAAAGAAATCTGTGAAAGCTGAACCGCGATATAGCGAGGGACCACTGTAATCGCATAATCTCAAGTATAAGTGAAAACAAATGACGGTAAATGCGCGCTTCCTCCTCCTTTCAGATTGCCTGTAAAACCGTTTCCTTGTTACGTCTACGCTTCCCATGTGGGCCCAAGCTATAAAACGACATGACCTGCTTGTAAAAATTAGTGGGGTCATTGCGAGCAAAATGAAGTCGAGGCGGATCGGATTTATGGACTGTCTGCTTTAGCCGACGACCCAAAGCATATGGCGTGGTGGCATGTGTAAGAGCTCGCAGAAATGGCTTATGTCATGTTAGATTTGTGGTGACAGGATGCAGGGGACATTACTCATCATTACAAACAGCGCTGGCAGCCTGTTCCTGTCACATTATGGCGGTATAATGAAGCGTAGCATGCTAGCCTCTGCAGGTTGGAGACAATAGCTTACCATTAGCACAGGTCGGGAGCAGCCATTCGCGACGCCATTCAGAATGTAGCTTATTTTTATTTTATTTGTTTTGGTTTATTAGTGGAGTGTAGGTCATACAACTTGACATCTGTTACTATCAAAGATTAAAATTAATATAAATAAGCAAATTGCATGTTACAAACATTGTCCCCCCATTCCATTTTGGGCTCAGCCATGATAATCAACTGAAAAACGTGATATATATATGAATGGATTGGTATACAAGAAGATGGTGTATGAATGTGTATGAATGTAAAACCAGTAGTATACTTCTATTGGAAAAAAATAAAAATGTTATTCGCTGGAAATGAACAAATCAACAGAAAAAAGAGAGACTGCATCAATGAAAGTACAGGACTGGTTAATCGACTCGTTTGTATTGCCCATAACATTACGTTGCAATTGAAAACACGTAAAAAGTAGAAAGTAAAAAGCCTTTATAGAACCCAATGTCAATTAGAATCAATGTGTTTTGACAGTGATTGTGAATAAAGTCCCTAATTTAGCTGAATACCTTAGTTTAAGCTGTTTTTTTTGTTTTGTTTTTTGTTTTCAAAATAAGAACTATTTTAATGTTGATTTTTCTCCATCTTGAACCATTGCAATAAGCTACAGTAATTGTATTGTTGGATGCCTGTGCTTTATGTGATTCTCAATGTGTATCCTTGCTTAAATTGAATATCTTGGCATCAGTAGTTGAACCAAGATAACCAGTGTCTGTGTGTGTATGCATGCGTACACTGTACAAGTAAAGAGGTGGAGCTAAAGCAGATTTAAAGACATTAATGTTTGTAACGCTTCATCCGCTCAATTCCATGTTTCTCTATATTTTCACAGGAGCAAGGCAAAGTGGCCGTAACTTTCAACATTGGCACAGTCGACATCAGCGTTAAGGAGAACGTCGCGGTAAACGATGGGAAATACCACCTTGTCCGTTTCACCAGGAACGGAGGAAACGCAACTTTACAGGTCGACAACTGGTCTGTCAATGAGCACTTCCCCTCAGGTAACACCTCTATGTCCTCTCTGTCCGTCCGTTTATTGTTTTTTCTTATTTTCTGTTTTATCAATTAAATACAGGTGAAACTCTGTATATTAGAATATTGTTCAAAACTTCATATTTCATTAATTCCACTTAAAATGTGAATCCATGTATGACATAGACTCCAACATGAAAACGTCATGGTAAATAAACACTGCCATGAATTACTGAAGGAAATGTACTTTTGAACGATATTGTAACGTGTAAAGTGTTTTCGGAGTTTCACCTGTACCTGGTTAAATCTGGACACCACCTGTTTCGACAAGGGCAAACATTCATAGCAGTTTTTTTAAAGACTACTTACATGCACAATGCTCCAACTATTGTTTTCAATTGGCCACAGCAGATTAAACTATCACCCCATCAGTTTACAATCTAAAAATCTTAATATTTTTGCAGCCGCTTAAATATAGTATTGATAATGTGGAAGGGATATAGCTTATTATATGTCCCTGTAAATTACATTGTAAAACTGCTCAAATAAATTACTGCTACTACTACTACAATTAAACTCGCTGCTATTAACCTGCATGCGAAAGCCAGATCCTGTCAGAAGTCTGAAGTTAAGCAGGACAGGGCCTGGTAATTACTGTGATGGAGACCTCTGGGAACACCGGGTGCTACAGTTGGGGGGGCTGCGGCTGTCAAGTGCCAAACTATAGTTGGTCCTTTGGCAAGACACTTCACCCACATTGCCCAGTATGAGTCTAGTGTGTGTGATGGGTTGGTGGTGGTCGGAAGGGACAATGGCACATTCTGGTTGCCTCGCTTTTGTCAGTGTGCCCCAGGAATGGATAATAATAAATGAATGTCCGAAAAAGCGAACCAAACGCATTATTATTATGATTATATTGAGCATACAATTCAACTAGCAGTGCACATTTCCAAATTAGCATTCCTTTCATGTCTCAACCAGCAACTTTGAACTTCGGACTAAGATGTCTTGAAAGAGGCCAGAACAGAGCAACATCTGGTGTGCTCATTTTTGAAAAAGAATTGAAAAGTGGCAATTGGTCAGTCATCCCACGAGCAAGATAAAACGCATATGTCTCATCCACGGGTCAGCAACAGCAGCTCCATATCTGAATACAAATGACACCATCAAATAACACTCTACTGATGTAAAAAAGGTGCAGTTAGAGATCATACACTTCTTAAAATGTATTTGATTTGTTTTTACGTTTCCTCTTTTATTTTAGCGATGGTAATAACTTGGGAGGGAGAGTACATGCAGAGTTAAATATACAAATATATTGTATTTCACTCAATGAGCTTCATCAGCTTTATGTGATGGTAAAGCTGCTGAAGAAAATGCCCTATTTTTCATTATTTGATTTTGTTGACCTTGTTTTTTGGGGGAGACCGATAAAATAATGTTTTTGTTTTTCTTTGTTTTTGTTTTTTTATTGCTTTCATTCTGCCCCTTTAAATCCTGCTTCGTCCAATAGCATTATCCAATCATAAGTTATATTCACATTCTATTGTAGTTACAGTATATATTCCCCAACCTAATGAAGACGTCTTGAGGTCAGAGAACATCAAGAAGAAAGAGTGATTCAATAACTATTTATACTTTTGAATCAAGACAATGGAGAAAATATGCTCCAAGCTTATCGCAGTAGTCTCTGGTACAGAAGACACAGGGTTTTACCGTATGGGCTGTTGTGGTTTCACTCCAGCGCTAACAGGTGACACTAATGCTTTGTGTCTCCCACTCTCTTTGCCGCGAGCAGTCCTTAGCTTTTCTTTGAACAGATAAAGTTTGATGGCTTTCATAACTGCATCTTAGCCGCCACTCGCTTTCAGTCAAACACAGACGAGCTCAAAACACTCACCCCTTTTTTAATTTGTTTTTGTTTGGTGTTTTTCTAGTGTGCAAAAATATTTAGTTGACGACACTTTGAACTGGGTTTTAAAGTTTTTAATTTGAACTGAATAGACCAGACTAGTCATATTAATTTGCTTCACAAACACACAGTCAAAAGTATAAATAGTTTGCAATTTGCATGTCCAAAAGCATTTTCAGTTGCATTCAGATGCATCAGAAAAGATTGCCATAAAAGATGCAGGAGGGTCTAAGGACAGTGATGATCCAGGACATATATGGACATGTATGAATATTTTTTGTAGAAGTTAGATTTTGTAAAGTCCTCCGAAATGACTTATTTTGTGATTTATTTAATTATAAATATATTTGAATTCAATTTGCGATAGCGTCAACTAGGGGTGGGCGATATGGCCTAAAATTCATATTGCGGTATAATTTGGGACACAGACGGTAGACGGTATATATTGCGGTATAATTTGTTGTGTGAATTTCAATATAGGTCTAGCAGGTTCTTGCATAAAATAGTCAAGATTGTTAATTATTTATATATTAGAATCTAATATATATATATTTTTGAGTTAGAAAATCAGTTGTGAGACGAATAAAGAGACAAATAACATACATTATTTATGTATGTTACAGTAAATACCATTCACTGTAAAAGCAATTTTTAAAAGGAAAAACATATGCATTCATTTAAAATATAAAAAACTCACAAATGTTGAAATCAAAGTCTGTAGGAGTTAGACATGGTCATTATTTATAGTGTCTGAGAGTTTCGTGCAGGTGCATGACTTCAGTAAAAGCTATTTTACAAAGCTGGTCTTGCCATTTGTTGACGCTCCCTAAGCGCTTTTCTCTGCGCTGGATGATTCAATGGATTTATGTTCATTAAAACAGCGCATTGGATTTGAACAATTGATGTAAATGATCATTTTGGCACAAATAATTTTGTTTAACAAAGTAGCTTTCGTGAGATATTGACCGCGGAGGTCCGAATCTGACGCTAACTTTCCCAAACTTCTGCTGTGTTGCTGCGGACACGGCACATGCATGGATCTATTTTGGCACACGCTGGCGCTTCGAGCCTACGCCCCTTTGACACTGATTGGCCAAAAGGTAGACTCTTAAACTGTGATTACTGTGTGTGTATTTACCTCTGCTGGGGCCGCTGTGACAACAATACATAGACAGAAACACGGTGTTAATGCCGTGCTGTTGTTCGTTGTTTCCAGTGGTGTCTGCTAGGCTAATGTGCTAGGCTAATGCTGCTGAATGCCGGTTTGTTTTGGTCCTTTCTGCTGGCGTCAGAGCCTGCGCAATTTAATGACATAATGACCTATCGCAATATGCCGGTATAACAAAAATCTCTACCGTGGGCCAAATTTATATCGCATACCGCTTATACCGTTTATATCGCCCAGCCCTAGCGTCAACACACCACATGTCACCTATATATTTCCCTGTTACAACAAACAGAAGTGCGTTTGTACAGTTTATATTAAAGGACAACTAAACACTAAATCACTATTTACTTATAAACTGCATAAATATGTTTCTTATAGTTCACTCTACATGTCCTGGTCAATATTTTGACATTTTAGTGCACATTAAAGGACAACTCACCCTCAAATTCTCTTTTTTTTTCTGATAAACGGCATAAATGAGTGTCCAATAGTGTGCATATCCTGGTCATAATTTTGTCACTTTTATGCAAATTAGTTGAAAGACCAACTTTCTTCCTAAAACCGTCAGTGAGGCGCCATCTGCAGGCGACCTGTATTTACTACAGTTGAATTTTGAATCTGGCGCCAACATTGGCACAGCCGCGAAGGCTGACGTCTGCAGTGAAGGCTGACGTCTGCAGTGAAGGCTGACGTCAGTTGCCCTGCCGCCCTGAGGTATTTAAACGGCCCAGTCGTGTTCACGCCGCCGTAGCGACTTGGAGAAGGAATAGCAGAGAGGATTTTCATTGATTGTCAGGTTTGCGATTAGTTATAGCATTTAGGTAGATTTTAATTAGCATAGCCGTTTGTATCATAGATGATTGTGTAGTGTTAATAGCGTTGTTGTTGAATATTGTTGTTTTTGTCATTAGTTGATTTTATTGTTAGATTAGTTTGCTGAATTTAGCTTAGGACTTTAGTTAGTATTACTAGTGTTCTTTATCATGTGCAATTTCATTGTATATTGTTTATTGTACTTGTGTACAATAAATACTACTTTATGTTTGAGCGTGTGTTAAATTGCTGGCTCTTTTGTACACATTGGGGTATCATTTCTATCCAAAATGCCTTTGGGGTTTCCATGCAGCACAAGTTTTCCCTTGGGGACAAAGAGGTGCAGTGGCCGCAGGTAATTGTGGCAAGTGTAGAATGTTATAACTATATGACCCCACAACATATAGTTTCTTGGTCTGGGTTCATAAATAAAATGTACAGACAAAACTGTCAAGCAAAGCACCGCAACATAAGGGGTTACTGTATGGGAATATATGAAGGCTAGCCACATAAATGGCCACTCTTGTCAAAGGTTCAATTCAGACAGGTTAGCCTTTCGGGGTCAGGATCCCTACATGATTGCTCCTCAAGACCTGTGACAAGCAGTTCGTACTTTTTATTCGACTCTAATCTATATCATTCAGAAACAGGCCCCCTTCTGTGGTGGTCTGCTGCCTCTGCAGTTATTATTATAGATCCATGGGTGGGGCCTGCTAGCTCTACTAGCAGCGCTAGCTCTGCTAGCGGCCCAAATTGATAGGGCTGAGGGCCGCCGTCTGCCTCTTCTCTCTCTACCTCCGGTGAGGACGGTGGAGAGAAGTCCTCCACCTCCAAAGACCGAACAGAAGCTGTCACAGCCAATGCAGATGTCAAGTGTCAATCATAACTTAGACCCGCCCAGTCCTCCACGCTACGCCCATTTGGAGGGAGATTTGAAAAGAAAATGTGAGTGACTTAATCCTTGAGGAGCGGGGATGAGAAGTTCTTTAAAGCCTAAAACCGTCTGTGACACTATATTTGAATTTGGTGCCTGGCCTCTCCATTGGCTCTGGTGTTTGACTCTGTAGCTCTGCGCCTGTGGTATAAAAGCAGCCTAGTCTCTTGCGACCTGTATCGAGTTGCAGTATTCTGGTAAC